TTGTGGGGGGGTGTGTCTCTTCTTCTTTTTTTTCCCCTCCAGTTGTTTTGGAAGGTCAGTCCAGCAAACACGATCTCCAGATCAATATTCACAAAGCACAGCTCAATAAAAATGAAGAACGGTTTAAGCTTTTGGAAGGCACATGCTACAACGGGAAATTAATCTGGAAAATCACAGACTACAAGATGAAGAAAAAAGAGGCTGTGGAAGGCTGTGTCCTCTCCATATTCAGCCAGCCCTTTTACACCAGCCGCTGCGGGTACAGGTTATGCGCGAGAGCCTACCTGAATGGGGATGGCTCAGGAAAGGGAACGCACGTCTCTCTCTACTTCGTGGTGATGAGAGGGGAGTTTGACTCGCTGCTACTGTGGCCTTTCAAGCAAAAAGTTACGCTTATGCTTTTGGACCAAAGTGGGAAAAAAAATCACATTGTGGAAGTCTTTAGAGCTGACCCGAATAGCAGCAGTTTCAAAAGGCCAGACGGAGAAATGAATATTGCCTCCGGATGTCCACGCTTTGTGCCACACACGGTCCTGGAGAACACAAAGAACACTTACATCAGAGATGACACTCTGTTTTTGAAAGTAGTTGTGGATTTAACCGATCTGGAGGAATTGTGAAAAATGTAACCGATCAATGGGACTGCTTTGACCATGAAGAAATGCTTTCTTGGTGATTACCAGCCATGCAATAGTGAATTGCCATTAGTCAAACTACTACTGATCATGTTTCAAGGCTTTTGGACTGCATAACAGATGATGAATTGCCAAAGCATCAGCCTTTCCTTTTTTAACCTTTTTTTTTTTTTTCCAAGACTGCGTTTTTAAGGCAGCTAGAAGTCCAGTTTGATGCGAACATGCATTTGATCCAGACTTGGCTCAGTCCAGGCAGGGGGGAATGCTTGGCTCCCATCACCAGACTGGCATTTGGAGATGACAATCCTCCAGTAAGTCCCCTGGAGCCCTAGCAGGCCTGTGGGCTCCCCTCCCTCACATAGAACTGAAGCCATGCCCAAGCGTGCCAGTGCATTTCACCTGTCTGAAATGGAAACATTTCAACACTAGCACATTCCAGTCAGTGTATCTTGATCCCTCCATCTCCTGGATTTTTGAAGTGAGAAGAACGGCCTCAGTTAGGCAGGGATCTTGCATCTTTTGTTTGTTTGTTTGTTTGAATTGTTTTTTCCACAAAGCCCAGAGGAAAATGCCAGTGCCTCTTACTTTTCTAACCTGGTATTTCAGCTGTATAGAGTACTGCCAGGTCACAATAGCTTTGTTATGTCCTTTCCATTCCTGCCTAGTGCCTTGGGACTGATTTCCATCGGTGGTAAACATCCACAGTCCCCATCTTGAAGTCAAAAGAAGCCACAGGCGCTTCTCACCTCTCAGGACACGGCCAGAAGTGGGATGCTTAACCAGCCTGCCAGCTGTTGGCTGCGCTGCTGGAAGAAGAGGAGCAAAATTCCTGTACTTTTGCTCCCACGTCTGCACAAAAGAGATGTTTTCTGGCCTACCAGCTCTACAGAAGGCAGGAAGAGCTTTGGATATCTGCTCGGTAAAAAGCCCACGTAACATGCACTGTTCCCCTCTGCTAGAAATTTGGATGTTTGGGAAAAGAGAGGGGAAAATGGATTAGGGAGTGAGGTTGCTGTAAGAACCCGATTCTCACAGGTAGTGCAGCTCTTGTTAAAGGGCGAGACAGCCGCTGAGTAACAACTGCTGACAGTGAAGTATGTCTGAAGATCTTAATTTTTATTCCAAGTTCCTTCCATACTGCAAGGGAATGTGTGCGTTGTACGGGGTTTACTGGAGACGCACTAAAACCACCAAGATCAGGCACTGAGAGACAAGTGACAAAGAACACATGTGCCTTTTTAAAGCCTTTTGGGTGCCTGTAAGAGGGATGTAATTTTGCACACTCGGTCATTTTGCTATTACAAGTGAGAGAATTTTGTGTCTCTTATCTCTCACAGATCAGGTAGTAAAACACCGCAACGTTATCCATTGCTCCTGCAGTCCACTGGCAGAGCAAACCCGGAGCTTGTCAAGAGGCAGCAAGAAACCAAGCTGGGTTTAGAGTAAGAGTAAACTAGGCAGGATAAAAATCAAAACAGGGCACAGACTGCAAGGTATAAGGTAGAAAATTCAAGAGGTCAAATGTGGCAGTATCAAAAATGCCCTTTCTGCACGAGATGTTGATATCAACTGAAACAACATGATTTGGGGATTGATATACTAAGACGAGGCAAAATACCATATTTTGTATCTGCATTCTCATTGCTAGCCATTTACTTTCCCACATGAGTTCTAGGACATAATTCAGACACAAATGTTTTCAAATTCAGGGGTGGGAGGAAAGACCTTAGTTATCTGTACCTTATGGTGAGTTAGCACACCCAAAATCTTCGGTTTGATCTAGATGTCCTTTTTGGTGTATGATGTCAGGACATACTGGGTCACTGTAGGGGCTTTCCGTGTTCCCAGAGACAGATGCTGAGGGCCAGATTTTATTCTTTTGTACGGCTATGACTAACTTTAAGAGTCATTTTGGCTATACAACAGAGAGAATCAGGCCTCGTGTCCCTAACACTTCATTACAGAAAGAGCAAGCTTGGTTTGAAAATGATGTGGCATTCTAGGTATTCTAGGACATCCCAAGCCTCAGATGTGGACTTTATGTTGATTATTACTTTAATATTTGTCATATAACTTTCAAAGTGGCACAACTTGCATAATAACCACTAATAACTGATGGAAACGTACCACCCGTGTTTCCTCGGACTCTCCAGTACATCGAATGTAAAATCCAGAAAGCGATAAAGAACTTGGAGAATTGAGGGAGGCAAGAAGGAAAGGATGCGGTCTGTCTCCTGGCAAATTCCCAGCCCTCTCCACCTCCACCACCCCAACCATAAAATGGGGATGATAATACTTGCAGAAGTGTTAGGACTATGTAAATGATTATGAAGAATTTTGAGCATGAAAAGAGCTGAGTACCATTAAAACTCCATTTCTAACTGTTAGAGTAGGCGATGGCATAGTGACGTGGATAAGTGTTTAGTGTGTTCTTGGACAGATGTTGAAAGCATGTTCAGTTTTAGCCAGTCCGTACTGCAATCTCTCCTCTACCTACCAGTTGCGTTTATTTTTTTGCCACGAATATTCCTTTTAAAATTTTGAAGCACAAATGATTCATTATGGGTGATGGAAACATCCCTTTTGAACTACTGCCTGTTTTCTAAATAATTAGTTGAGAAATTATTTTTTTTTAAGACAACCTTCTTTAAATTGCTTCTTTTTATTACAACAATTGAGAGATTTATGTTAAAATTTTCAGCAATTTTTACTACTTGTAAACAGGGTTTTAAATTTCATCCCATTTCTAGTAAAGAAAAAGATGTTGTATAGCATGAATTGTCGGGAAGAATTTTGATGTTGCATGAAAAACACCAAAAAACTTTTCAATAATATTGTACTGGGTAAGTACCCAAAAGAGCGTAGGGTATTTCTACATCAGCATACAGTATGTTTTTAATGTATTTATTGACCGTTTATAGTTGTTTGAATATCTCTTGCTATGACACAGGCGATTTTCTAGCCAAATGTCATCACTGTATATGTAAACTAATGTAAGAATAAATGATTTTACCATCCTTCTGGGGCGAGTGTGGCATATATTCCTCTATTATGGCCGGGTAAGGTGCGCAGTGTGATGAGGGACGCGGGGAGGGGAAGACGCCCCGCGGATCCTGCGGCAGCAGCCGTCGATCTGAACGGGCACACGGAATAACTTAACTCCAGCTTCAGCTG